AAGAATCCTCCCAATTCAGTCCGTCCTTGGTGGGCTCTAAGCAGATGGTGGACGGGTCTGACGGAAGAAAGGGAAGAGGGGTAGAGGGAGGGAGAGACAGACAGACAGACACAGAGACAGGGACGGAGAGGGAGAGGGATAGAAAGAGAAGAAAGTAGACAGAGGGAGGGAGGGAGGAAGAGGGAGAGAAAGCAGAGTTGGGGTTCCTAATGCACTCTAAATCGCACCTCAGTGCTCTGCATTTCGTAGGCAGGCATCACTTCCTAGCAGGACATTCAGCTCTGATCCCCTGCAAGGATTCACACACTGATGAGAAGAGTGCCCTCTCGGTCTGATAACCTTCAAAAAACCCCACCTCTGCATCCAGGAGACTGACATGCTGGATGTAACACAAAACACATCTTAGCCTCTGATATTGAAAACATATTCTGGGGATTGTCAGAGATACTGGGAAGTCAATGGCTTATATTCCTCTTGGATGCAGAGCACCAGCTCTGCCTTCTATTCCCTGGCCTGCCTGATGCTCGGTGGGGATACAATGGCTGGATTTGCAACAGTCATATATATGACTGCAATGACTGTCAGACTCCAGATGATGTGTGTTAGTTATGGTTTGGTAGAAAGTTTGTCTGCATTTTGCTTGTATCTAGAGACTGTCTGTGATTGAGGTTAAGTGGGGAGGAATAATTAATCTGGAAGAAGAAATTTCAAGGCACTCAAATTTTGAGGCAGTGGCATGGCTACTGTTGGGGGCTTTTAGTCACATTTATGTTGAAAGCCTAGCAGGATTATTTAAAATGTTGTGAGTTTGGCCAGAAAGGAAGCTCCAGTAATCTATGGACTGCAAAGAGCGAGCTGAGGAGATCTCAATTTTTGAGAAGGAATAGAAGAATATAAAAGGTGGCCTGAGGGAATCACAAGAAGCAGCAAGTCTCCACCCTGTGCAGCCCCAAAACTGCCAATGTGAAAGACTTTGCATTGAGGAGAAAGCCGCAGAGCACTATGTTTGTGAATAGCAGTAGCCGCACCAGGTTCCAGAATGGCAGCATCAGAGAGAATTTGCTCTTCAGAATTGGATTCATAATGCTCCAGTGGTTCAGGCACTTGACCCCTAAAGCCAACAGGGAGGGAAGCTTACCTACTGCTCCAGCTGGCAGCAAACCTTAGAAGCACCCAAGTGGTGTTGGTTTTAGGCAAATGTAGAAGGCAAGAGTTCTGAGATTTGAAAGTCTTCCACCCAGATTTCAGGAGGCCTGGGAAGCCAGGCAGAGTGTCCCTGATAGGGTAGCACATGAATCTGTGAGGGTGAAGCCAAAGGTGCAGTGGGGACCTTAGAAGTTTGGAAAAGCCAGGAACATGGATCATCTGAGGAAGCCTGCAAGGAGAGAGCAAAATGCACCTAACAAAGAAGCCATGGGAGCTAGAATTACCAGCAGTGCCTTAGGGATGGAGCCACCCAAGCCTTTTGGAGCTCACAATAGATTGCACTGGACGCTACACATGAAACTATAGGACTTAATATTTGCCCTGCTGGGTGTTGGATTTGCTTTGGTCCCATGCCTTTGTATTTTCTGCTTGTACCTTTTGGAATGGAAATGTCTATCTTGTGCCACTGAATGTTGAAAGGGTTTAACTTTCATTTCTATAGAGGTTCACTGCTAAAGAGTTTGCCTTACATCTTGGAGCAAAGACTTGGGACTCAGACTTTTTGGCAATGCTAAATGTCCCCCCAAAGCCTCATGTAGTCATGGGGGCTGGCTCTAGAGTCTGTGTTTGACTCATGGTCCAATGCTGGGACTATGGGTGTGAGTGCTACACCCACCCTGGCCAGGCAGCCTGCGTACAATTTAAGGGAGGAAAAGTGGCTTGCTCTTTCTGCTTTTGCCTCTTTCTCCTCTCGTTGCTTTTGTTTTGTTCTGTTTGCATGAAGCCATGACTGCTGCCCTCTGCCCTGTGCCACCCTGCGCTGGAGCCAGCGGATTATGGACTGAAACCTCCACAAACTATGAGCTAAATAAACCTTTCCTTCCTTAATTCAGGACACTG